TGCCTGCCACCAAACACCTGCAGATGCCGTGCTTCCTGCTGGAGACCATGCCCTACGGTCAGCCCTGGGCTGTATGCCATCCCTGTTCTCTGCAAGGCTCGGGAAGTGGAAGGCCTGACTCCAGAAGACCTCAGGTCCAGAAGACCTGAACCAGGGGAATTTCTCTCATGTACAAGAATTCTTTCTCCTCCTCCCAGCTACTGTTCTGTGGCCCCAGTGTCACAGAAACCTCTTGTACGGTTTTGCCCCATTGCTGGAGCTGTCCTGCAGTGCCACAGTGATACTCATGGTCTTTGATTTCATAATCTACATTTTGGATCCAGTCTTCCTCTTCCCTCTCATGCAGTTTTCATGTGCATGTGTCCTGTGTTGGCAGACTCAAAGCCTTATCCACCTGCTCTCCTGTCCTCACAAGTGTCACTGTCTTCTATGACACCATCATCTCTCCCATGTGAAGCGCAGAACAACGCATAACATAAGCTACTAATACAATCGCCAATTGAAAAAAAAAAAAAGAAAAAAAAAAAAAAAAAGAAATCAGTATCTTATGCCCTTCAAACTTTTGGTACAACAATTTGTTTACAGCAATCATAACATTAGTCTTTCCACACAGGAACAGGACATACTCATAGGCATGAAGAAATGTTTCTCTAGTAGAGAGAAGAACTTTTGGTCTTCCAAAAAGATTTTAACCAAGCCCTTTCCCAAACCATCATCATCCTCCCAGTCAGTCCTCAGGTTGCTTAGAGGTGGTGTGGGAAGGGTGAGACAGGTTCTAGTGGATCTGCAGATGTCATCATAAGACCTCTCTCAAGACCTTGGAAAGGCCAGATAAAGGAGAGACGTTGCTCAGGATTTTGAAAAGGCAGAGGTAAAAGGCATCTTCTACAAGAAGGGTAAACAGAAGGATGATTAAGACTAACTAAGTATTAAAATGCTATTATTGAATCTACACCTCAGATCAAATCTAAATTAAAAACCTCAAAACTTATCCTTATCCCAGATCTTGAGCAGACACCTTGAGCAGAATACCAATCCCTCCTTTGATACAGTTGCCATTCCCTTAACGCTGGAGGGTGAATTCTAATTCCTAAACATTAACCTGATCATCTGACCCCCAAAGCCCTCCACCACAAACACAGCACATCTCATCTTCAAATCCACTCCTATCCCTTTCTTCAGCTTCTTGTCCCATAGGGGCAGGGCAGGGACTTTGAGGTCCTGCAGCAGTCCCATGGCGTTGGAAGAGTCATGTGAGGTGACAGGTATGTGATCAGATCAGAGGCCACAAGGTGGAGCTGCCTGGGAATGCTGGGATGAGGTCAGGTGTGCCTCAGGATGTGCTGGGCCTGCAGGAGGCACATGGCTGGGAAGGAGGCTGGGAGGTCACTTCTGTCTCTGGAGCTGACGGACCAGCAGGAGGAATGTGGCACAGATAGGGACCATAAAGGGCAGAAGCATACACAAGGCATTGAAAATGATGGTGAGGCACCTTCTGTTCTGGTCGGATGAGAGACCACAGGAAGGCTGATGGGATGGGAGTCATGCTTGAGGTATAGTTTGTGAGACCATAGAATCATAGAATGGCTCCTGTTGGAAGGGACCTTAAAGGTCATCTAGTTCCAAGCCCCTGGCCATGGACATGGATGCCCCCCATGAGTTCGGGTTGCCCAGAGACTCATCTAACCTGCTCTTGATCAGCTCCAGGGATGGGGCATCCACAGCTTCTCTGGGCAACATGTTCCAGTGCCTCACCTCCTTCTGAGTGAAGAATTTCCTCCTAACTTCTAATCTAAATCTCCCCTCATTTAGCTTAAAACCATTCCCCTTTGCCTTCTCATTATCTGACTGAGCAAAGAGTCACTCTCCATCTTTTTTATAAGCCCCCTTTAAGTACTGAAAGGCTGCAATGAGGTCACCCTGGAACCTTTTCTTCTCCAGGCTGAACAGCCGCAGCTCTCTCAGCCTTTTTTCATAGGAGACATGCTCCAGCCCCTTGATCATCTTCGTGGCCATCCTCTGGACTTGTTCTAACAGACCCACAACCTTCTCATGCTGGGGGCCCGAGTCCTGGATGCAGGACTCCAAGTGGGGCCTCACAAGGGCAGAGAACAAAGAGTAGAAGTAGAAGTCACCTCCCTCCACCTGCTGGCCACTCCTCTGCTTATGGAGCCCAGGATGCAGTTGGCCTTCTGGGCTACAAGCACAGAATGTACTGTCTCACTGTCTCACTGTTGATCTCACCATCTGTCATAGATAAAGATACTAAACAGCACCAGTCCCAGGACAGCCCCCTGAGGTACAACACTTGTCACCAGCCTCCACTTGGACATAGAGCCATTGAGCACCACGCTCTGGGTGTGACCTTCAGGCCAACTCCTTTATCCACTGAATGGTGCACCCATCAAATGTGTATCTCTCTAATTTGGAGACCAGGATGTCATGTGGGACCATGGCAATGGTCTTACAGAAGTCCAAGTAGATGACAGAGGTCGGTCTTCCCTTGTTGTCTGATGTGGTCACTCCATTGTAGAAAGCCACCAGATTGGCCAGGCACCATTTACCCTTTGGTGAAGCCATTCTCATTTTCTCGAATCACCTTTTTGTCTTGCATGTGCCTTGACTCTGATTCCAGGAGGATCTTTTCCATGATCTTTTGAGGCACAGAGGTGAGGCTCAGCATTCAGTGGTTTCCTGGGTCCTCCTTTCTACCCTTTTTTAAAAATGGGAATGATGTTTTCCTTTTTCCAGTCACCAGGGACTTCATCCAACTGCCAGGACTCTTCAAATATGATGGAGAGAGGCTTGACAAGTACATCAGCCTGTTCCCTCGGGACCCTGGGATGCAAGTCATCATGCCCCATAGACTTGTACTTGTTGAGTTCCATCAGGTGGTCTCAAACCTGCTCTTCACTTAGAGTGGGTGGGACTTTGCACCCCCAGCCTCCATCTATGGCTTCAGGAAAATGAAAAACTTGTGAAGCCTGACTGGCAGAGAAGACTGAGGCAAAGATGTTGTTGAATCCCTCAGCCTTCTCCATGCCTGTCATTACCAGTTCACCTTTCTCATCCATCAGAGGTGGTACACTCTCCCTGGCCTTTCTTTTCTGAGCCATGTATCTCTAGAATCTCTTCCTGTTATCCCTTGCATCCCTTGCCAAGCTCAGTTCCATCCGTGCCTTGGCTTTCCTTATCCCATCCCTGCACATCCAAAACTGAAACATGTGAGAGGGCCTGGGAAAAGGAGCCCTGGATCCTAAGAAGCCATTTGGGAAACAAAACTTGTAGGTAGGAAGCACAGTTTTGTGGAGGTGCAGAGCTGATGGGCACATTGTGCAGGATTTTCCTAAAGACCCATGTGTCCTTTTCCCTCCTGACTACAATGCTACTTCCTCCCAGTAATGGAGGAGCCAACAGAGGTGAAAAAGGTACTCTGTGATCATGAATGTCATCAGAAAGCTGACACCAGTAAGACATGGGGAGGTTAGGAGAAGCCTGGACAAGAGAGATGTGAGAATTTGGGGTTTGAAAATGAGCGTGGCCAACAGAAATTAATGATTTCATAGTGGTAAGAGGGTGCATGTAATGTTGATGCTGTAGTAACGCTGACTTAAAAGAATCATGTATGGCCCTTACCTTATTTAGACAGTAATTTTAATCCCGAAACCTAAATGCTACTCCAACACTCTGACAGGAATCCCCTACTCTAATGCTTGAATTCAAAGTATCCCTTCAAGCAAAACTCAGCCCATAGCCCCTTTCCCTTGCCTTTATTCTCTTACTCACCCAAGTGCCTTCCCTGGATACTAGGATTAAAATGCTCTATTGATCCCTAGGATACTTAGCAGACCTTAAAATGATCTAAACCACAGAGCCTGCCCATATCCTAACCACAGAAGAACACCAAACATTCCCAATAAACCTCTGTATACTCTCTAACCCAGAAAAGTGAGCCCTAGTCCCTAAGGGACTAGGGAGAGTTGAGCTCTGCCTCAGGATCTCCTGCCCCAGCAGCAGGAATGTGACTGTGGCACTGACTGTGAGGTCACTTCTGTCTCTGCACTTGATAGGGCAACAGCAGGAACGTGTCACAGAAAGGGACTGTGAGGTCACTTGTGTCTGGAGGTGGCAGGTCACACTTGACTTCTCCCTGGGATCTGCACTTTGGGGCTGACATCTGGCAGTGGCCCTGCTAGGCCAGCAGAAGGCACCTGCTTGGCATGCTGACTGGGGGATCCCCTCTGCCTCCACACCCAGGAGGATCCAGGCAGAAAGAAGGCCCCCAGATGGATTGTCCCGTCCCTTCTGCTTGAGTCCATGAGTGGGCAGCAGCGGCAGGCACAAGGCTTGGCTGTGTCTAGCCAAGAAGCTGCAAGGCCAGCAGCAAGCCCCTGGCTTGGAAGATGCTGCTGAGGTGACTTGTGTCTGGTTGGCTGACAGGCCGCAAGGAGCCTGCTGGGTTGGGATGCCTACTTCAGGAGTGGTTTCCACCCTGATGGATCTATCTGTGGTAGTAGGAAAGAGCAGGAGAGAAAAACTTGCCACAAAGTGTGCCCTGGAAGGTTGGAACTGGCCAGGAGGAGGAAGAAATGCCCCTCAAGTTGTTGTACTGTAGTGTCAGAGGTCACCCTCTGATCAGACCCTAACTTTGTGTTTCAAGAAACAGCTGGTGAGGGTTGACGAGATATGGGTTAAAGCAAGGGATTGCAACTTGTCCTTCTGACTTTACTTGCTCAAACAGTTACATCACTCTCTTCTCACTACCTGAGCTTCATAGACTCAGCACCAAAATACACCATGGAACTCATTAAAATGCAGAAACTCCTAACATCTCTTCCATAGTTTTCTTCAAGTTTTCATGCCTTGTGCAGCTACTTGCAGTGCTTGCATGATGTAGTTAAGGAAGAAGTTTTCAAAAAGCATCAAATATATTTTTTTTCTTTTTCATTTTAAATCCTGAATTTTTCTGCATTTCAGTTTTGAGAATCATTCACCTATTGCTATTCATCCAGGGTGACTTCCTTGCAGACCTGCATCAGGAGAAAAATCAGAGTCTGGAGGTCTGATACCTCCACTGCCAGCAGTAGTCTTTGTCCCTGTATCTGCAGCAGGGCTCAGCACATGAAAACGTTTCAAAGAAAACTCAAGGAAAGATTATAAAATGAAATGAAATGAAATGAAATGAAATGAAATGAAATAAAATAAAATAAAATAAAATAAATAAAATAAAATAAAATAAAATAAAATAAAATAAAATAAAATAAAATAAAATAAAATAAAATAAAATAAAATAAAATTGAAATGACCATTGGATCCTGAGACATTCTAAATGAATCTTAGTAGACAACTGGACATCCATGGTTCTCTTGGGTCTTCCGTTGAAAACTCAGGTTGAAAAGTAAAGAAAATATATCTTCAAGTACCTGTAGCTATATCCATGAGCTTGACCGCTTTTGGGAAATTGTTCCCTTCCAGCCACAGAAAACTCAATTGACATGAAAAGAGCTGCCCAGTCAATAGAGTAGGGCAGAGTCCTACTTTCTGTGCAGAAGATGCACAGGATGCAGAAGGCAAAAAGAATTGCATTGTGCCTGACACTACTCTGGGACGTGTAACCCAGGTCAGGCAACTTTACCTTAGTGCTGACAAGTCCATCACTAAAGCACGCTCCCAAGCTCTACATCTACACCTTGGCTCTCCAGTCGATGACCCAGCTCATGGATGGCAATCAGGGAGTCTCTGTAAGTGTAACGCTGCCTCAGGTCCCCCACCATGGTAGCCATTGGCACCTGCTGTTCTTCAACCCTCAGCAAACCCCCCAACAGAAGGAGTCTGTGGAAGGCCAAGCAAGGTAGACAACAGTTTCATGTCCTTTGTCTCCAAGGCAGCTCTGCCAAAGTCCCACCAGTAGTGCCCTCTTGGAACTCTGAATTCCCTCTCCTGAAGCAGTCTATGCCGAGGATGCACATAGCATCCGGACCAGTCCCAATGGGGTGCTTTTGCCATTCCTTCCCTGTTAGACTCAATTCAGCCTCCGGTACAGTTAACTGTTGGGATCCCCCTGTCACACCAGAAATACAAGTGGTTCTACCTCTTTGTAGCTTGATGGCATCAGGGTACTATGTGCACCGGTGTCCAGTAGAGCCCAATACGTTTGTGGAGCTGATGTGCCAGGCCATAAAATATAAATGTCCAGTAAACCCTATTGTCCCTTTCCTCCCCTCCTCCTCCTGACTTGAAGCAGGACTCCTCTAGTCCTGTTCATAGTATTTATTATGGTGTCTGCTAGACAAACCAATGGAAACACGTCCCACCATGGCACTGTCATTCCATTGGGCAAGGGAATGGAGCCGACAGTCATGGGACATATTTGGGTGGGGAGGGTGGGGCCCAGCAGAGACAAGGAGTCAAGGCAGTGGGCTGGGGTGAGGCCAGCAGAAGCATCCCAAGGTGTGGTGCTGCTGGTGAGGACACGTTTGTGGCAGCAGCCTGAGTGGGAAGCAGCTGTGCGCAGGTGAGGGGAGGCCAGGAAGCGCATGCCAAGAGCGCTCCTGCCAGCAGAGCCAAGGCTGGGACTGAGCTCAAGGGCAGAGGCAGGCCCAGGGCAGGGGGCTGCAAGGGTCATGCTGAGCTCCCTGCCCCTGCAGCAGCCGCCCTGGCCCTCGGCCTCCTCTCCCCTGCCCCTGCAGCTCTGGGCTCCCTTCGCACAGCCCTGGCTCTGCAGCACCAAGCCGTGCTGGGAGCCCTCCCCTGCATGCTGCCACCGCTCCCTGACGCTGTTGTTGCCCTCTGCCGGGCACTGCCCAACCCAGCCCAGCCCCTGCCCACCTCTCCCCACCTCTCTGTCATCTCCCCAGACCAGCCCAGCCCAGTCACACAGAATCACAGAATTTCTAGGTTGGAAGAGACCTCAAGACCATCGAGTCTAACCTCTGACCTAACGCTAACAGTCCCCACTAAACAATATCCCTAAGCTCTACATCTAAACGTCTTTAAAAGACTTCCAGGGATGGTGACTCCACCACTTCCCTGGGCAGCCTGTTCCAATGTCTAACAACCCTTTCGGTAAAGAAGTTCTTCCTAAGATCCAACCTAAAACTCCCCTGGTGCAACTTAAGCCCATTCCCCCTCGTCCTGCAGCAGCCCAGGCTGTGCTGGCCCCAGGGCAGTGCCCACTGCAGGCTGCTGCAGGGCTCTGGGCACGGCCACCACAGCCCCCGCACTGGGACCAGCTCAGGAGATGGAGGTCCATGAAGCTGCAGGAGCCCTGCTCTCTAGCCTGACAGATCCCCAGCACACAGTGCCTGTGCCTCACAGGGCCAGCCCCACTCCCCAGGCCAGTACAAGAGGCCTGGCCTAGCCACAGAGCAGCTCCAGATTCTGGGCCGTGAAGCTCCAGATTGCCCCACTTAGTAGTGATGGGAAACCCCAAGGGCCACCAAAGCTGTTCCTAAATGTGACAGCAGGCCTTTTGGCCCTGAGCCCCTTCGCCATTAGGAGAGTGAGATGGGATCGGAGAGCTGTGAATATCTCATGGCTTCTTTATTGCCTTAATCTACACAGGAAGATTGCTAAAAGTAACGTACATGAGTGGGTCAAAATAAATATCAACACATAGAAGGATGAGAAGAAATTTCCTTAAATCAAAATAATATTATCACATATTTTAAAAAAAAAAAGAATAAACAATTTCATAAAGTGTTTTGTGACAAATTTGCTCAGTACTGTTTAGATGGTGAGCATATTATTTGTGCTCAAATAGTACGTGGGAAAGTAATTTCCTTAATGCATTTTTCAGTTCCTGGCTCCTCATGCTGTAGATGAGGGGGTTCACTGCTGGAGGCACCACCGAGTATAAAAATGACACCACCAGGTCCAGGGATGGGGAAGAGATCGAGTTGGGCTTCAGGTAGGTAAACACGGCAGTGCTGACAAACAGGGAGATGACAGCCAAGTGAGGGAGACACGTGGAAAAGGCTTTGTGCCGGCCCTGCTCAGAGGGCATCCTCAGCACTGCCCTGAAGATCAACACATAGGACAACACAAGGAAAACAAAACAAGCACAGCCTAAAAATACACTAAACACAAGAGCCCCAACTTCCCTGAGGTAGGCATCTGAGCAGGAGAGCTTGAGGATGTGGGGGATTTCACAGAAGAACTGGTCCACAGCATTGCCTTGGCAGAGGGGCAGGGAAAATGTGTTGGCCGTGTGCAGGACAGCATTGAGAAAGCCACTGCCCCAGGCAGCTGCTGCCATCTGGGCACAAGCTCTGCTGCCCACGAGGCTCCCGTAGTGCAGGGGCTTGCAGATGGCAACGTAGCGGTCATAGGCCATGACGGTGAGAATACAATACTCTGCTGTGATAAAGAAGACAAAGAGAAACACCTGTGCAGCACATCCTTGGTAGGAGATGGCCCTGGTGTCCCAGAGGGCATTGGCCATGGCTTTGGGCAGAGTGGTGGAGATGCAGCCCAGGTCGAGGAGGGCGAGGTTGAGGAGGAAGAAGTACATGGGGGTGTGGAGGCGGTGGGTGGCAGGCTACGGCGCTGAGGATGAGGCCGTTGCCCAGGAGGGCAGCCAGGTAGATGCCCAGGAAGAGCGCGAAGTGCAGGAGCTGCAGCTCGTGCGTGTCTGCGAATGCCAGCAGCAGGAACTCACTGACAGAGCTGACATTGGACATCTGTTATTTCTGGTCATGAGGTCCTGTACAAGGAAGACAAAGGCAGTGATAATGTACCACAGACATATCTGAGGAAAACACTTCAAATTTTCTCATTTAAAATCACCAAAATTTTGTGCATTTCTAGGCAGGTATTTTGAAGCTGTGTTTCATTGATAATGCCTGAGAGTGCCTCTGGGAGCAGGGGACTCCTCTGTGGGCAATGGAAGAATCAGTCCTGCACTACAGCCAGAGGGAGTAGCATGGTAGGAACATGGTAGGAACATTGGGGTAGTTTCAGATTAAGGTTACTGCTGATATCAAAGAGATTTCCCCAGTTGTACTCCTAGTTCACCCAACTGCAGAGCAGAGGCATGGAGATTTAGGTATGTAATTATTTGTTTTGTGGATTTGGTTCTTGTTGCCCCTCCACAGTGGAGAACTGTTTCTAAGGCATAAATCCTGGGCATTCTGCTGCAATTTAAGTGAAACCTTGTGGATCCTCAGAGGCAAAGAGACTGTCCCTTCCGTGCGGAGTGTCCCTCAGAGACGACAGCCAGTCTCTCCATCAGTGCTGATCTCAGCTGCCCTGTGAGAGCTGCGTGAAAGTTGTACTCAGTTGTTCATCTGAAAAGAACCTGAACACTGCTGAAAGCAGAGGATTCCAGGCTCAAAGCGCCCATCTCCACACCCTTCACCTTGTCCCCATACTCGCCTTTCCCCAAACACGTCAATGGCACACCAATGCATGTGAAACCCCCATCCCCAGCCAGCCTGGGAACAAGACCAGCAGCAGCACAGCCAGCTGGAGAAGCCAGGAGGAATGACAGCGTGCTGCTGCCAGGGGAGGCAAGGCCAGGGAGGGACAGACGGACACTCAGCAGACCCTCCTGTGCTGCAGCTCTGCACACAGAGGAGTCAGTTCATGCTCAATGGAGGCAATCTGTGCTCATTTCAAACTGGTTGAGATCTCACAAAGACAGGGCACTGGGCACTGGAGGGTTTGCAGCTCCTGAACATAAGCTAGGATAAAACCTGAGAGGACCACAAGAATGATATTGGTGCAGTCTGTGGTTTGAAGTATGGGAAGGGACTTTATGAAGTTCATTGATGAAATATTGATCTCTCACTGCAATGCTCTAGCAGTCTCAGTCTTCAGTACAAACCTGACCACCTACTACCATGAAACCGGACTCTACTTTACCACAGGTATCTGCAAGCACAAGATACAGAAAAAGTCTTGCCTTTCAGGTAGCTCCTGCCTTCGTCTTCCTTTTCAAAAATCCAATCATAAATGCCATTCTCTAAAGCATCTTCTACTCGTTTCTGGAGAAACAGAGAAACCAACCCTGACAGATGTTATCAGCCATTGGATGTGCCAGCTGTAGAAGACCCCTCTGGCAACCCCACCTGCAGTTCCCTGCTGCCAGAGCCTCACGGTGTCAAGAGCCTGCAGATGTGTCCTGCCACACGCTGCCCTCTGTTGTTGTGCTCCTCAGTGCCTCCAAGCCCTCTCTCCTTCTCTCCTCTCTGTGTGCCAGCTGCTGTCAGAGCCCCCAGCCCTGCTGCGCTGTGCAGAGGAGCTGCTCCTGGGCACAGCTGTCTCTCTGCTTCATGGGACTTTCTGAATTGTGTTTTCTCTGTCCCACAAGACTGACCCAGCTCAATAACAGTGGCCCAGCCAAAGGAATTGGAATCACCCCTCTGGGGGCTTTGCTGATGAGCCCTTGAAGAGTCAATTAGGCTCTGGTGCTTTAATGATTAGCTGTCTCCTCAAAAGCTTTAGTGGTACAGAAAATAGCCATAGCCATGGACCCAAAGATCTCATAAGGCAGCTCTCTAGGAAGCTGGCCTGGTTCCTTGTGAGAAAGCACCACTGTTCCCATGGCATCTTTGTGGTGGAAAACCCTCCTGGAGGACGCATCCCAACCCAGTAGGCTCCTTGCAGCCTCTCAGCCAACCAGACACAAGTCACCTCAGCAGCATCTTCCAAGCCAGGGGCCTGCTGCTGCCCTTGCAGCTTCTTGGCTACACACAGCCAAGCCTTGTGCCTGCTGCTGCCCACTCATGGACTCAAGCAGAAGGGACAGGACAACCCATGTTGGGGCCTTCTTTCTGCCTGGGTCCTCCTGGCTCTGGAGGCAGAGGGGATCCCACAGTCAGCATGCCAAGCAGGTGCCTTGACTTCTCAAAAGTCAAGGGTGTCCTACCGCTTACAGGCAGAGGTGACGTCACAGTCCCTTTCCATGACACGTTCCTGCTGCTGCCCTATCAAGTGCAGAGACAGAAGTGACCTCACAGTCCCTGCCACAGTCACATTCCTGCTGCTGGGGCAGGAGATTCTGAGGCAGAGCTCACCTCTCTCTTGTCTCGTAGGGACTAGATTTTACCTTTCTGGGTTAGAGATTAAGCAAAGTTTTTGTTGGAAGATTTTGTATTTGGTTTGTGGTGTCATGTTTCTGGTTACAGTATGGGCAAGCATTATGGTTAAGGGTTTTGTTTCTGTCTGGCAAGAAGTCTAGGGATAAATAGAGCATTTTAATGGTAGTGTTAAGGGCAGGGATCATGGTGAGCAAGAGAGTAAAGGGAAGAAACGGAGGTTACAGGCTGAGTTTTTCTTCAGATGATATTTTGAGTTCTGCTTTACAATAGTGGACTCCTGTCAGGATCTTGCACTAATGTTTAGGTTGAGGGTTTATTGTTACTGCTAAAAATAGTTTACAGGTGTCGCGTTAAAGGGGTGTAGCTGATTAACCGTCACGGGCCCGTTTGGATTCAGAGTACTGAACCAGTCGGACATTCACCAAAACTGGGGGTCCGTTCGGACAATCACCAAAAACGTAATAACCGCCTGGGGGTCCACTCAGACATTCACCAAAAACGTATTAACCACCTGGGGGTCCGTTCAGACATTCACCAACAATGCATTAACCGTCTGGGGGTCTGGTTAGATTCAGAACACTGAATTATCACGGATAATCACCCTCACCCAAGTCGCATTAATGAAAACTATCACAATGCAATCAAGTATGGTTTATTACAGCAACAGATAATCAGGTTCTTTTGGATTGCCGGCGATAGTGACTGTCTGCAAAAGCAAGCTAATATGCATGAAATACACAGGCGTTATAGGTGTTATAGATGTGACAGGTGTTATAGGTGTTGCAGATGTTATAGGTGTTATAGGTGTTACAGATGTTATAGATGTTATAGATGGTATAGATGTTACAGGTGTTATAGGTGTTATAGGTGTTATGGGTGCACAGCCTAGAAATAAACGCGTTGAAAGGATCAAAGACTCTATATAGAGATTTATAAGCAAATATTCAGATCTCACCCAAAGGCGTCCCAATGGGGGGGGAAGAGAGGCTCAGCCCGTCGACTGATCCCAGGAGTCAGGAGGTCCTAAGGATGCTGTATGTCCTCGGGATAGTATCTCCCCTGACGATGGTATCTTCCCTAACATCCCCTCTTTCTTGGGCCAATTTATATTATTTTCTATCTTTTAGGTGGAGCTTGAGTGGCTCTAGTCAAGCATATCTTAGTTATGATTGGTGTAAAGTTTTCCCGTCTCCGTTTAAAGTAATAGGCTCCGAGAAATTCAGAGCGCATGCTCAGTGAGGGGTGGTCGCACCTTGGAGGCGGGTAGCTTTTGGGATGGAGGTGTGTTTTGGTATTATAATGATATTATAATGAGCAAAAAGAACACTAGGGTACAGCATTTGTCAAAACGTGACAGGTCTTTGGCTTAGGGTGGCAAAAAGTGCTGCTTTGTGCACAAGAACAATCGAGGTCCCACCTGATCACAGAGCCTAGCCGTGGTGTCTCCACTCCACTCCACGCTCCGTGGTGTTCCTTAGAGCTAGCACACCAAGTTTCCCCAGCGCGATAGCATCTAAGGTTGGGAGCCTAGGGAACGCTCAGATAATGCAGTTATGCCCTACCCTGAAAGCCTCTTCAAAGCTGTACCTTTTCCTTAAAAACGTGAATGTTAGTTTTATTTTCCTAGTTACTTCAGGCATTTACACCACATAATCCACCCCGTGACTATAGTCACTCAAGCTTCACGACAGTTGAAATATGTCGGGGATATCACATACATTCTCGGATTGAGGTTTATCGAGTGTATGTACATTTTGTAGGGATGCTAAACGTTTCATCATAAACCAGAGTTTAACATACAAACTAATTGTCAGTATAAAACACAATACAGTGAGTATTAGCAGAACAATAACAGGGTGAAGCATCTTGTTGAAGATTCCCTTGGCAGCTGGCGACCATCCAAACAAAGTGTCCCACCAACGGTGTCTCTCATCTCTCTTCACTCTTTCCATCACTCGATGTATTTCTTGTGCATCATGATGGACAGTAATCAGAGTCTTTTGTCCATTTTCTTGGACTTGTGTCATCAGCTGCTTCAGGTCCTCATGTACCAGCAATTTCTTCACCAAGGTGAGGTTCATTCCAATAGGAGTAGGCAGCAGTTCATGAAGCAGAATATAATTAGATGCAATAAGTTGATAAGAAGTGACAGGAGCTGAGTATTTAAAATCACATCCTAGAATTTTGGTAAAATTGCAAACACAAACATTAGAGTGATTACTGGTATCTACCACTGTATCATCTACGACTATAGAAT